ATAGATGGTCAGTTGGCGGTGGTCGTGTGACTCGACTCCCACTGACCACCAGTGTTAGAGCCAGGTGATGATCGTTTGACTCGATCGCTACTGACGTAAAAGTTTTTAATAAAAGTGTTTTTATTATTATTGTTCGTTTATTTGTATCTTAATCTCGGGGCCGTGGGTTCGCGCCTCACGTTGGGCGCCACTTTGTCGTATACGTCGATGACAGACGTACACAAATAAACGAACAATTAACAAATAAACACTTTTATTAAAAACTTTTACGTCCAGTGGCGATCGAGTCACACGATCATCACCTGGCTCTAACACTGGTGGTCAGTGGAAGTCGAGTCACACGACCACCGCCAACTGACCATCTATCTATCTTCCCATATTACTTATATATCAATATTACAATCGAAGCACTATTGGTAGTATCGCTATTAAGTTTAACCTAGTTGCATTATACTTACCGACTATGCTTAAAATTATACTAATTGTTATTATATTACATAATAATTGATATCTTATCCTAATTTAGTGGAATGCATAATTGTTTCTATGTTGTTACTTAGCTTATTGAGTATTGTATGATTTGATTTGTTTTGGTATTTAACCTGTTACATATGAATGTTTACTTAGCCTAGTTAACAATATTTTTTATATATTATGCATGATACGACAGAACCTACTACTCTATTTATTTGCAACAGCAACAGCAGCATAACGTCTTTCCAAATTTGAGGAGCCGTCTCCTCACAGCTGATAAGAACGATCTAAGCCGGGGTTTTTCTGCTGCTGCAGCTGATTTCGCTTGGACCGTAGTGGTCGCTGGTTCCAACCCGTCGCCAACAGCTGGCTCTAACCCTTCACCATCGGTTTTGGCCAGGGCTGTAGAAACTACAGTCATGCTTTCGGCTGTCTCCTCCGGAGCAAAACCAATATCGCCGGCCGGTGAATCTAACAGCGGGACTCTAACCGGTGTCAAGTGACAATCAAACTGCTCAGTTACATTTTTGTATTTGTATTTGTTTTTTTTTGTTATTTTATAATAATATATTGGACGATTGGGTGGCTATTACCCATCACAAACTACACAATATAGACACTAGTACACTACCATATAAAAGATACCAAAAACATAATATATAGATATAAATTATAATAATTATATAATATGGACAGTTAAAAAATATTTTATTTCTTGAAACGTAAAACGTTATTATCCTGTCAGGGATTTTATGCTGTGTATCGTGTATAGCAACGCATTAATTATAAAGTAGGTATAAATAAATTCAGATCGAATTAAAAAATATATTTAAATAAAATATAGCCAATTTGAGTATTTTATTCCAGTCAAGTTAGACTAATAATTAGGATTTAGCTCGAAAAAATTAGCACCAAGAAAATTTTTGGTTTATATAGGATATTTATTTTGTAAGGTAATTGAAATTCGTATACCGCATGGTAGAACTGCCGGAAAATAACGAAATTATAGTGAATAAAATATTATGAGTAATGAGTAGGTACTAGGTACTGTTCGTTAGCCAACGTGGTTGTTTCTAATTTTAGTATTATTTTATATTTCAATAATTTAAATTTAAAAGAAAATTTTTGGAATAATACATTTTGTAGGTATATAATATTATAATTATAATAATACCTATACATACTGTAACAGAATTTCTTGAAAAAAATTATATTACTTATATGACTACAATTATGAAAATGTCATGGAGGATAAATAATTCAAGAAATATTCTCATGTCAGGAAGTTCCCAAAAACAATATTTTGAAAAAAGTTATTAAGTTTAAAATTAATTTGCTCCAAAATAATAAAATTTTAAAAAATTTTAAAAAATAAACTACTAGATTTAAATATACGTTTTTTTTTTTATCAAAATGTGTTTGAAAATTAGATTTACAAATTGGGTATTTATTGGGTACCTAGTTTTAAATTTTCAAAAAAAAAATTAAGTAGATACTTATTAGTTATTAATTATTATATACAATTTTAGATTCCGAGCGGAGTGATGAATGTATTGATTTTTCAATCATGTGTGGTTTTTTTTAATTTTAAATTTTTAAATTGTTGAGTCTGCCGTCACTGTTTGCCGTTTGGGGTAGTAGAACTGCTTCTATTTTCTTCAACAGGATCATGTTCGATGGGAAAGTGAATTTAGTTAGGGCATTCGGGAGGTCAAAATTTAAAATTTCCAAAAAGTTTTCAAAAGCACAAGGAAAAACAAAAGAAAAAACGGGAATTTTTAAGCTAAATAGGTTTTTGACAAAATGGACTTTAGTTTTTGGTATAATAAAATTCTAAATCAAATGAAAGTAAATACATCAATTTTTTACTTAATAAAATGTACTTTTTTTTTTTTTTTTTATTAGAATTTTCTATAGGTAGGTACACCATAACATTTTCAAGTTTTATTTTGAGCGTTTACGGACATTTTCAGTTTCGACTTTTTTTTTTCTATGAATATCAATAAAATTGTATTTGTTGGGTAAAAACTCTTGAAAATTTAATAGAAGAGAGAAGACTCCTAATATATTTTTCAAAGGAAGATGAAAAATATTAAAAATCAATTTTTTTTAAGCATTTAAAGTTCAAATATTGACAAAATACGTAAAAATGATGAAAATTCATAAATTATTTTTAGTTGGAAATTCATAAAAGTTTTTATTTTTAAAAACAAATTTGAAAATTTTATACAAGATTCATTATAATTTTGTCTACTTTTGTCAAGATGTGTTATGAATACACGCATTATATATAGGTATATTGTACCTATGTACTTCTTATATACCCTCAGCAGCTTTGTGAAGATCGGTAACTATATATAAATATATTATACTGTAACGTGAAAGCTCACTAAGTAATAGATAATTTAACTAAATAATGTTCATAACAATAGTAATTATCACGAAGAAGGCCGGGTTGGCCTTGGGTCCACACTACATATAAAACAAACATATTAATATAAAATACCAACTGAAATAATAATTTAATAGTTTGAAAACCTTTTTATCAAGGCTCGGAACTTAATAAGCTAAAAAATAACGAAATATGTAAGTACATTCTACACTAAAAAAAGCTTGAATATGCAATATTGTGCAGTAAAGTAAACAGTTTTTTTTTTTTAAAAACACGAATTTATATACTTTAATAAAGTTAAAAATGTATAATTATTTTTAATGAGGTACACATTGGGGTATAATATTTTATTTAACTTGTATATCTTGAAAAAATTTTCGATTTTTCACCGTCCTAAATATAAAAAATTTGGGTGCGACTCATTTGCGCACACTTACCTTTTTTACGGCACGTTTGCCCACAAAACCACAACTCGTTTGCGCACACATATTTTAGGTTTAAATGATATAGGTAAAACTCGTTTGCGCGCATTTACCTTTGAGCAGAACAGCACAATATTTCCCTTCTCACTTAAATATAGGCTTAGGACTATCTGTTTTTTACAGGCATGATTAAAAATGTGCATAACGTGTGTGTTTGTTCTGAATAAATATATAATTATACTATTAGTAAGAAGTAATAATAGTAGTCTATTAGTTGTAAAATTAAACTATTAATAAATTGTAATAGTAGTCTATTAATTATAAAATTATACTAATTTTGAATGGTGGTATTTAAGTCTGATTTTCTGCATATAAGTTAAGCGATCAATAATTTTATTTTTATATTCATTCTAAATATTTTCCAATTGCATTTCCTTATTAATTGCCTCTTTTCTTTTGAAGTTTATGATTTTATTGTTTATCGAATCACTTTTTAAATCAGTTTCACTTTGAATTCCAATAATGACGTCGATTGCTTGATGTATGTGTGGATGAGCAGTGTAAAACTGACTGTTATAATGTTTGTGAATTTGTGATAACTTTCTGCACCATTAGTAGTCTTAGGATTATTAACAGGTTCACAAGCCCATAATGTTGGATGAAAATTGCTATAAGATGTGATGTAACTTTCTAAAATATAATCGGAAAATATAGAAGTAGTACTGAACTTGGTTCTTTGTGCTATTGACATAAGATCACAAAATCCTTCAGAAACTTCTTCAGGGGGTAAATAACTTAATCCAAAAAAATATTTCATCCATTTGCCAATTTCAGAGTCATTGTTTAAGTACTCGCTCGATAATATTTTGTGTTGTTGAATATGTCTAAACCAATTTTGTCATAAATGAAAGTTACAACATGCAATTTTGCAGTTAGGAAAAATTTGCAATACTGCATTATGCGTAGCTTTTTCAAAGTCTACATGAAAATTGCTTAAATGTATTATATTACCAGTAATTTGAATACATATATGTTGTAACGTATTCTACATATTGATGTAAGTATCAGTATGTTTGTTACTTAAAAAACAAAACGCCACAGGAACATAAAAATTGTTTGTATATACGTGAATAGTATAAAGTTGAACAAAATATTTCGGAGCGAATGAAAACGTCCCATCCCCAAAAACGTGTTCTGCACTTTGTAGCAATTCCAATTTTTTTAGATTCTGAGTGAAACGATGAATGTATTGATTTTACAATGATGTGTGTTTTTTTATTTTTTTATTTTTTTATTTTTTTATTTTTTTATTTTTTAATTTTTTTATTTTTTTTGTATCTGTGTACACGATAAGTAGTCGAAATAATGCTTCGATTTTCGACTTCAGTATCTTGTTCGATTGGAAAGTGAATATCGTTGGTGCATTGGGGAGGTCAAAATTTAAATTTCCCAGTAGTTTTCACACGCGCCGGGAAAAACAACATAAAAATTAAGGAAAAACGGGAATTTTTACGCAAAATTGATTTTCCAAAAAATCGATTTTGGTTATTGGTGTAACTTTAAAACAATGAACGTATATACATGAAATTTTCACTGGTTGTTTATATTTGCATTTTCTATACACGATAACATTTTCAAAATATTTTGATTTATTTTGAACTGTTTAGGGACATTTTCATTTTTCGTTTTTTTTTAGTTTTTTTTCTAGAAATATCAATAAAATTTTATTTGTTGGTTGCGAAAGCTTGAAAATTTAATAGAAGGCTCCTAATATATTGTTTCAAAGGCAGATGAAAAATATTAAAAATCCTTAGTCACAATTTTTTTTTATAAGCATTTAAAGTTCAAAAATTGACAAAATATGGAAAAATCCCGAAAATTAGCAAATTATTTTGAGTTAAGAATTCGTAAAAATTTTTCTTTTTAAATCTAAGATTTGAAAATCTAATACAAGATTACTCATAAGATTGTCTACCTTTATCAATAAAAAAATCTCTACCGGAAAGTCAAATTAAATTTTTATGAGCGTTTGAAATTCAAATTTTTACAACATTGGATATTCACTCGATTTCTCATGTGGCAATTTCCTTTTTTGTTGTAATTAAAAAACGAATTACTGTAAATACATGAAAATTTCACTGAATGTTTATATTAGCATTTCCTATACACCATACAATTTTGAAAATATTTTGACTCTTTTTGAGCCGTTTACGGACATTTTCAGTTTTCAATTTTTTTAGTTTTTTTTTTCTATAAATATCAATTAAGTTTTATCTGTTGGGCCAAAAAGTGTAAAAATTTAATACAAGGCTCCTGATATATTGTTACAATATCAGTTGAAAAATATTAAAAATACATAGGCACAATTTTTTTTTATAAGCATTTTAACATCGAATTTTGACAGAATTTTTCAAAATCTCGAAAATTATTAATCATCGTAATTAATAAATTATAAAATGTTCAGTTTTTATAGCTAAGGATTGAAAATTTAAAACAAGATTCCACGTAAGTAGTTAATTCTCTTACCGAAAAATCTAAAAATATACAATCACAGTTTATTTTTATAGTCATTTTATGTTCAAATTTGGACGAAATTACATATTAAAA